AATAAGTGGCAAGTAGAGAAGTCATAAATTAGGATAAAAAATTTTTAAATGACATTAATATCTTATAGAAATTGGAGTACAAATGTAATTTTTTTTGGCTAATTGGGGAACTAAGCTAGAAATAAATACACTTCTGACATTTAGTTCCTTACAGTGTAAATTAAATATATATAATTCTCACAATAAATAACTAGAAAATAGAGATACAGGCAGTCCCCAGATTACAAATGAGTTCCGTTCCTAAGTCAGTTAGGTACTTTCGTATCTAATGTCAGTTAGTCAAATGTTTGTCTTAGTGTATAGTAGACAGTGTACCTTTCTATACATAAAAAAACATTAAAGAAACACTTCCAGGTACACTGAAACATCTTTAACGTACATACAGTAGTAATAATAATAATGTTTTTTTCTTTTTTTATTGTACTTTAGGTGACAGTTTACAGCTCAAGACAATCTCTCATATAAAATTTTATACACATATTGTCATGTGACACTAGTTGCAATCCCTACAATGTGACAGCACACTCCCCCTTTCCACCCTGGGTTTCCCGTGTCCCTCCAACCAGCTCCTGTCCCTTTTTGCCTTCTCATCCTGCCTCTGGAGAGGAGCCACCCATTTGGTCTCGTGTATCTGCTTGAACTAAGAAGCACACTCTTCACGAGTATTATTTTATGTTTTATAGTCCAGTCTAATCTTTGTCTGAAGAGTGATCTTCAGGAATGGTTTTAGTTCTGGATTAACATAGCGTCTGTCCGGGGGCCATGGCTTCAGGGGTTCCTCCAGTTTCAGTTAGACCGTTAAGTCTGGTCTTTTTATGTGAGTTTGAGTTCTGTTCCACACTTTTCTCCCGGTCCATCAGGGACTGTTGTGTTCCCTGTCAGTGTGGTCATTGGTGGTAGCCGGGCACCATCTAGTTCTCAGGCTGATGGAGTCTCTGGTTTGTGTGGCCCTTTTGTCTCTTGGGCTAATATTTTCCTTGTGTCTTTGGTGGTCTTCATTCTCCTTTGCTCCAAGTGACTTGGGACCAACTGATGTATCTTAGATAATAATAATAATGTTTTCATGCATGTCACAAAGTAGAACCCCATTTGTTATTACGAACCATTGTATGTACCTCAAATTTTTAACATAATAGGTTTAGGGAGTTGGTTCGTAATTACAGGTTGTATGTAAATCAGATGTTCATAACCCAGGGACTGCTTCTATGTATACTTTCTTTTTTAAATTCTTTAACAGCTTTATTGAGGTATAATTTATATACAATAACACTGTCCCATTTGAGTGTAGAAGTCACCACAATCCAGTTTTAGAACATTTCTATGGCTCCAATAAGATCCCTCACGCCTAGTTACAGATACTCCCCATTCCCACCGCCAGCCCCAGGCAGACCTAATCTGCTTCATATCTATTATGATTTGTCTGTTCTGGTGCATATTTTCTTACACTAGAATTTCATATTACACTAAACGTTTTTATGTTTTTACATGTATAATTGTAAATCTAGTTCAGCATGGGTCTAAATATTCAGTGCAGCAGCCTCATGCCTTCTTTCCCCCCTGGAATTTATGGCTATTTTACACACTTCTTCGGCTTTGTTATTCACTCAGCTGCTACAGAACGGAACAAAATTGTTTAAGTTGTTTCCTAAACATAGAATCTAATGCCAGTATCTGATAGGACTGTGGAAAGCTATATAGCAATAGAGAAATATTGCAAAATGAGGGAGACAGTTCTATCTAGTCCTTATTCATTTACAGAGAGTCTAATGGTTTATTTATTGATTTAGTTGATGGTTATAGTTTTATTATGGGCCATTAGCCTATTTTGGTGAACTTGGTTAAGACTGGTTCTTCATTTCTTTCTGCTTTCCTTCCTTCCTCCCTCCCCCTACCTTCTCTTCCTCCCTTTCTTCCTTTTTTTTTCCCCCCCTTTTTACCTTTATAGAACTTTTCTTTTCACTGTAGAACTTGCAGGGATTCCCTAAGTTACCTCAACTTGTATTAAATGTGCTGTGGGTTACTTAAATCTTTAATCACAAACCATTACCAAATTGTTTCAGGATTACTTATAAAGCTATTTCCTCCTAGCATAAAGAGAACTGTAAATAAAGAAAATGACTTTATACCGTGGCACATAATCCACGTTGTCTGATAAAAATTGTGTGCTATTTTGTTTAGAGAAAATATTCACCATTCCCTCTTGTGTTACTGTCCCATTACTAGGATTACGATGACTCTGCCTAGATTCCTTTATGCTTTGGAGTCTGTTTTAATGCTCTTCTTACAAAGCTACTGCTGTTTTTATGTAATGCATATGCTTTGAAGGTTAGTAAGAAACAGAGTACCAACAGACAGGAAATCGATCCCTTCAGATGGTGGGGTTGAGAGGACACCTTTCCAGAGAATATGTGTGTACTGTAAACCCAAGATCATGTTTCCAGAGTGAAGCTTCCATTTCCTTAACCTACCTGTGTGTTCTTTGGGCTGCTTCCCCTTTTCCTTTTTGTCCCGAGCTATTGCCAAATATTTGATGGGTTGTTTCCAGAATGTTAAATGTAATTAACATTCTTTTGAAACATAATTTCATGTCAAATCACAGATTCATACAATTTTCCAGCTGGAACAAGCCCTTAAATATAATCTAGTTTGGTCTCTTATTTGCAAAAGGTGACCTAAGGCCCAGTGACGTTATATGACTTGACATATACTTAGTAGTGAAAGGTCCAAAACTAGAACCCAAGTTTCCCATACAAGCTTTTCTAAACTCACCTCATTACCTTTGTTGTATAGCTTTAGCTTATCTAAGGGAGTGCAATGTGGGAGTCACCCTTTCCTGGAGTGCATGGAAATTTAATTTGAATCGTGGAGTACAGGTATTCTGTGTAATAATGAGCCCTGTGATATTGACAGTTTAAACTTAGATTTACAAAATCATTTTAATTACAATATAGTTCAGAAAGTCATTTTTCCCAAAATAATGAAAAGATCTCTATAATGCAAGATAAATTATGAAATATTAATGAAAAAGTTAAATAGATTAATGAATGCATGTTCTGAGGACCAGCTCACAACCTGTGGTATTGAGCCAGTTTTAACCTTGCTGTGGCCATAACCTTTGTTCCCATAACCTTCCTTCCCAGTAAGGGCAGGGAATAAGGTCCAGCTGGAGACAAGCCATTTTAAGGCAGTTGCTTACCCCAGATAGAAAGCAAGGGTATATTTAAATACAACCAGCAACTGTGTCTTCGAAGCTGTTTAAAATGCTGGTAACATTACCTGTCATCATCAGGCAATTATTACTTGGGCACCTGCTGAAGCCTGGTGGGTAAGAACTTGTCAAAATCTTTGTCAAGAATACCCACATTAAGGTTCACTTTGCCCAAGTATGTACATTCATTCAAATATCAATATAATGCTTCACACTGAAGTAAAGTTTTACTGTAAATGAAACTTTCACCAATTCTAATTTCTGATATAGCCCATAACATTACTTGTATAAAATAAAATTAAGATACTGAGTTAGCATTTTCTTGTTCATTTTCCCTTTCTATGAATTTTGAGAGTAAAACCAATGTGGTAGAGGTGTCACAGTCTTTTTAGAGAGGACAGCTATACTAGAAAGCAGAAATATTTGTCATGTTATTTCTCCAGTGCTTTCATTAATTACGATTGATATGGATTATTTGGTATTGGCTTGCGGATTCTGCTACTTGAGAGCACTCAATGATACTTCCTTATATTGCTATTAAGTAATTAGCTCTATTATCTCTCTTCCTTTCCTTACAAGTCACATTGTTGAAATTTCTTGTATGGAAGTGAAACCAGAACAGCAGCTGGTCTGAGGAATGGCTAAGAGCTTGGCTGCTAACCAAAAGGTTGGCAGTTTGAATCCACCAGCCGATCCTTGGAAACCCTGTGGGGAAGCTCTACTCTGTCCTGTAGGGTTCCTGTGAGTCGGAATCAACTCAACAGCAACAGGTGTTTTTTGTTGTTGTTAGCCCACTGCAGAGCCACTGGGAGGCATGTGGGTCTGCAACAGAGACATGGATGCATTGGTGATTTTAGGCCCAGCTTAACTTGCCAAGAAGTTGATTCCAACTCATGGTGACCCCATGTGTGACAGAGCAGAACTGTGCTCCACAGGGTTTTTAGTGGCTGATTTTTCAGAAGAAGATAGCCAAGCCTTTCTTCTGAGATGCCTCTGGGTGGACTCTAACCGCAAGTTTTTCAATTGGACAAGCGCATTAACCATTTGTACCACCCAGGGGCTCCAAGCTCAGCTTAGGTCTCCCCAGTTAGTATAACTAAAGGTTTGAGATCAGAGGAGAATAAAGTCATCCTGCAGGTTTGGGAAGAACAAAAAAAAAAAAAAAGAGTTTTCAAAATCTCTTGAAAAAAATCTTGTTACACTTTTTTTTTTGCTTTTTTAACTGGTGGAAAGGGAAGGATGAGGAGGTAGAGAGAGCAGAAATAATGGTATATATATTCTGCTATCTCAACAGAGACAAAGATCTGTCACTGAACCTAATAACTCTTGAAATGTCTGTGACTCAGGACTGAGGAATAGCAAAAAGACCCATATGATCTTATCCTTACCACACTCACCTGAAGAAAAATTGGAGAAGAAATTAGCTTCTGTTTCTACCTTTTGGGTTGAAGACAAAAAACTACAGAATACACTCAAACACATTATATAAAATGAAATTAAAATAACACAAGAAGAATCAAGTACACTTTTCCTTTTGTTACCCAAGTGAACACAAAATTAATTTGGAATCCAATTAGTTGAAATTCATTTGATCCAATGGAAAGAGATCGGACTACAGTTTTGAAGCCCAGATTTCAAACCCAGATCTAGCAAAGATTTACTGTGTGACTCAGGTGGTGGTTGGGTGTCAGTGAACTGCTCCACACACCTGTTAATTTGGGGAGAAGAATGCACTCTGTTATATTAACTCTACGAGCTTTTTCTCACTTACTCCCTTCTGCCTTTCTTTCAGGTCCAGTTGAAAAGTGAAGAATCCAAAACGTTTGCTATGAAGATTCTCAAGAAACGCCACATCGTGGATACCAGACAGCAGGAGCACATCCGTTCGGAGAAGCAGATCATGCAGGGTGCTCATTCCGACTTCATCGTCAGGTAAAGGCTCTACCCTGGGACTGGAGGCCCCAAACTCCAAGTGGCAAGTCAACCACAAAACCCTCTGCCGTGTGTGCTCACTGCTACACAGTTTATTCACACGAAGAAAATTCTTTTTTCTTAATCTGATCTTAAGGAAGTTTTTTTTGATTAAAAAAAATAATAAAGATTTTATTCTACCCTTTTTTTTCCCAAGAGAATCATGTTCTCTGAAAAGAATGCGTTTTTCTCAAAGGAAGTGTGAGAGTTTCTAACATTTCATTTTTATCCTCTCTGTTACTCCAGATTACACACAGACCTCTGGCACTTAAAACACAAAATATTAAAAATCAAACTATTTAACCTTTAATTATTTAAATTATTATTTAAGGACTTAAAAAATAAAATGGCAGCCGACCATTCCACCTCTGTCTTTTAAGAGCACTGATAAGAGGATCAAAGGGGGCTTTTTATATACAGCAGAAGCTTTCTAACTAGTTTGCCAGTGGTACTTGCTAAAAATAGGCTGAACTTATGTGAACAGCCCCCAGATTTCATACATGCCTGTATTTGCAAAGTGTAATCTACTTTATATCCCTGTACACTTGCATGTTTATAATGACTAAATATTACTCAAGAGTTACGCTTCAACAGCAGTCAAATTGGAATCGGAGGGATCCCAAGAAGCCCTCTTCGTCCATAATCATTTAGATTAATTCACTCAAGGGAGAGATAAAAGACTATGGTGGGCATGCCATTTTGGCTTCTTTTCCCGATCTGTGGAATTAGATCTCTCTCCTTCTGATTAAATTTCAAGCTTGGTGAATCAAGAATAAGATTGTAATCTGGGCACTCAAAACATTTACATGCTTCCTAAACGATAATGTTTATAACCTTTATTTTCTTGTTTGTGATTCATAGACTATACAGAACATTCAAGGACAGCAAATATTTGTACATGTTGATGGAAGCTTGCCTAGGTGGAGAACTCTGGACCATTCTCAGGGATAGGTAAGAGATTTTAGAAGTTTCTATCATGTCTCTAAAATGTTATTGGCTATGATGGTCTTGAAGAAGAATCAGGTATTACAAAGTGTAAAATATATTTACATTTACAGATACTTATATTTCAAAATATAAAGTAAACATGAGGTACAGCCCACTCTACACATATGACTTAACCATATATACACAATACAGTCTGCCACTAATGAGACAAGGTTAGCTGCCATAAAAATGGTACCTAGCAAGGTATATACATAGGCCTTAGTCTAGCGAGGAGATCAGACTCAGACAACTGTATACCTGGAATTCAATTCATTGCTTTAAAATGAAGAGAACTATAGTTATTTTAGGTTTATAATTGTAATCTAGATTAACTACCAGTTTAATTGTTCCACTCATTCTGCATAGATGGGGTAGTCTGCCTGTCCTAACACTGATACTTTTTTCCAAAGTAACTTTTTCCTCTACCTTTACATTGCTCTTTGGCTTCGAAATTATCAAAAGTTGCCAGCCATCCCTTTCAGCCCTTAGCTAGTCTTAGGAAAAATGAACCTGCTGATAAGTGTTTTATGTAAGTAGTCTGATTTTGATTTACCTCTTTTTGACCTTCAAGGCAAGTAAATTTGGTGTAGATGTTTGTTTGTTTTCATTACTGAAAATTCATTGTGTCTTTATTTCCCATCTCTTATGTGCATAACTAGAAAACTATCTTTTTAAAAAATTTATTCTATACAGTGTCGCAGGAGACCATTAACAACCCTAAGTGTGTACATTAAAAACAAAAAACAAAAACACTTAGACCACAATTTTATTTTCCTATATATACTGATCATTGAAAAGTAATTTTTTTCATTTACACATTTATCTGTAGACATCTCTATTTTCCTTGTTTGTGCCAGTCTGCCCCTCAGACTCTTCTTCATTGGATAACATCCTTGTGAAATTTAGCTATAAATAATCTCGGTGTTCCCAGAGAGCCACGTTATTTTTGACAATGTGGTAATTTGTAGATACCCAGGAATGGAACAAGTGGCTCTTTATATGCTGTTAGTTTAAAGTCTTATTCTGAATGGTGTTCTTACTGTATTTTTATATCTTTGTACAACATGCCCTTTCAGATCCTTTATTCTCATTGTCTTGCTTATATATGTCAAATGGATTTCTTTTTACCATATCGTATCTTATCACATTAATATATTGTTTCATTTTTTTAAATTTAAGATAATTAAGCATACAAGAGAATGCCTCGTGTTGGCAATTACTGTTAGTTAATATTTGAGTGTAAATTATATGCCAGGTATTGTGATAGAGGCTGAGAATGTGGTGATAAACAAAATAAATGCGGCCCCACTCCCCAGAACTTGCTGGCCATTGAACCAAGTCATATACAGGAAGCCTGTGAAAGCTGAAACCTGTGTAAGGCAGAAACCTATTAGAGAAGAAAAACTCAAATATTTTCCACTAATAGGGAACACTGGAAAAGTGGTAAGACTGCACCCTGTCAAAGGTGGAAAACTTGCTAGACTCGGAAAGACAAAGTACTCCTGTCAAGTTCTTGACTTTCACAGGTATCACTGTATTATGATTTGTGAGTTGGTATCTGGTGTATTCTAATGCAGTTCTACTATATTGGTTTTGGAACAGCCAATTTATTCTACGACTTATTTGAAATCCGTTTCCTGCTTGTTTCTAATTGAATAGAAGGAGATTTACATTTGGAAGTAAACATGAGAGCTATAATAAACCACATAGGGAAGGACTAGCTGTATCCCTGTAGATTTTCTAAACTTCATTTAACTTCTTTAATCAGAACAACAAAAATAATAACAGTAATAATAATAATAAAAGTCAACCTAACATCTGCTCCTGAGGCATCATATGTTCACAGGCCATCAGTGTTCAACTGATCATTTTAAAGAAACAGCTTCTCATTTCTTTATTCATATTTTTGCTCTTTCATTGGAGTTTACATTTTGTTTATTCATAAATGCTGCTTAAGGCTTCTGAGTGAGATGTACTTCGATCTTGTCAGGGCAGCAAAGGGGTTGCTATTAATAAGAAGCTTACCTTGGGAGGAATGGATGGAAGGAAAGTCTCAATAGATGTTCATTTCTCTACCTCCACCAGGCTACTTTTTGATGCTTTCCTTTTTCCTCTCTCCTGTCATCCTTGAGAGGAGCCCTGGTGGGACAGTGGTTAAGCGCTTAGCTGCTAACCAAAAGGTCGGCAGTAGGAACCCACCAGCCACTCCGCTGGAGAAAGATGTGGCAGTCTGCTTCCCTAAAGATTTACAGCCTTGGAAACCCTAGGGGGCAGTTCTGCTCCATCCTATAGGGTTGCTATGAGTCGGAATAGACTCGACGGCAGTGGATTTGGTTTTTATTATCCTACATAGCTGCTCAGTCATCCCAATGCGCATGAAGAGGCATGATCTGGAGCAATAACAGCTACCTGATCCTAAAGATCTAAAGGTGCTAGAGTCTCACATTAAGAGCAATGGAGTTATGATACATAAAATTGCCTCAGTATCATCGTCCTCTGCCAGCTTTCTTTCTTATGCATGTAGCCTTATTGCTTTTGCTCTTTTTTTTTTTTTTTTCTTCAGAAAATTGCTGGGGGAAAAGTATTGCTTTGGAGATTAAGGCTCCAATTAACATTGCCACTGCTTAGATTTCTCTCTGTTTAAATTTGGGGTGAGACTCTTAAAGATTCATTGTTAGAAAAAAAGAAAAAAAATGCTAAGAGAAAGAGGAGAGTAAGTATGAAAATATGAAATAGTCCAAACAAACCACGTTGTTCAATTTAGTTTTCCTCTTGCGTCTGAGGAAAGAAGCAGTAAGGAAGCAGCTATTCTGAAAGCATAAAGGAAGTGCATTTCAGTTGATTGGAAGAAAGGCTTGTGTGAAGTTATTCTTTACTGACATGGTAATACCTCTGAGCCTCAGGGATTTAGCACAGGAAGCCTCTGGTAGCAACCCAGACATCCTCCTTCTCCCACCTCATGGCTGAGATGACCATTTCCTGCCTCTCGCTCTTTTTTTTACATCACTACAGAGCAGAAACACAGAGCAGCTCTTTATTTGTTGTCAAGAAATAAGAATTAAAATGACACCATCTATATACTATTTGAGGACTATTAACTATTTTTCTGTCTTTGAGACATGAACTATAACACTGAAATGTCTAGTTGTTGCATTTCCCTGGCTTATTCTTTATTAGCTCTCATCTTTTATCTTCTGTTACGTGGCTTTTTGCCTTCCACATAATAATTCCATTGTTTGGAATAAAAACCCAAACAAATCCATTGCCGTTGAGTGGATTTTGACTCATAGAGACCTTATAGGACAGAGTAGAATTTTCCCATAGGGTTTCCAAGGAGCCCCTGGTGGATTCAAACTGCCAACCTTTTAGTTAGCAGCCAAGCTCCTAACTACTGCACCAAAAAATTGGCAATCCCTATAACTTTCTTTAAAATGTGATTGACTAATATGATGAATAATTATAGATGTATATTATTTACACTACTATATATTTTAGTATATAATAGGGATTAGCATGTATATTTTATATTAGTATTAGTGCTTAATGCATATTCTAATCTAATGAAATTTAACGTTTCAACTATTAGAAGTATTTAAACTGTATTTTAATGTTTCCTACTAAAGAGCTTAAATAATTACTCCAGAAACCATAGTTTTCAAATCACATGCATCTCATCTCCTTGTCATTTGTCTTCCTGGATGTACCTGTAAACCAGTGAGTGACTTTCCACATCCATTTTCCTTGCTATCAGCTATTTTGTAGAGGGTGATTATTTAAATTCCATCTTTGATGACCTAGTAGATGATACATATTGAAAGCGTTTCAAAGGAAATGAGTCTAATTTCAAAATAAGTCTGCCTCCCAAGCTTAACAATTGGAAATAAACCTGCACAGGCTGCACTGTATTTCAGGTTTATACCCTCACGAATGATGAGGGTTACTACTCAGTGTAAAGAGTGAACTTATGTTTTGGTCAGATATGTTTTTCTTTGTTACAGTGTGTCACTTCAAGACTCAGGTTATTACAAGTTTATTAAACGATGTGATTAAATTTTAATTTGAGTCCATCAATAAGTGTACGTAACCCTCTAATTCTTTATATCAAATTGTTATTATCTACTGCCATCTAGCTAGAACAACTACTCATTCCCAAAGAGTGCAGAAGCATTTCTCTCTTGTTTTAATTGAAATGACACAGCTGTCAGGGCATAATTTATTATTTCAAAAAGCTATATAGGGTGAGTGATTTATTTCTTTAAATAACTCTTTAAACTGTTGCTAAAACAAGCTTTCATTTCTGCTTTAGATCAATTTAGATTGTCATTTTCAATTCTAAGGGTAATTTTTCATTTTTGAGTCACTTGAAGCTGTCCTTTGTGACTGCTTTTCAAGATAGTGGATTTTAAAATCCACATATTACCTATGTCAAATGTTTAATGATAAAACAGGGCATTGCTGGTAAACATCTTGTGTGCATATATTGTATTGATTTCTCACCTAACATGAAAACAGATTTGAGGCAAGGTTCTTATTTAATCTTTAAATTCAGTTACAAATTTATTTATACATGGGAGATACTCAGTAAGGAGCTGCTGAAGGAATGTCCACCAGCTTTTTAGAAACTTACAAATTCCAAAATGGCTCAGGACCAGAGAAACCTTGGAACAAACAGAGCTGTCAATAAATGAAGACCCAGACATGTACAATTCTTGGTCCATTTACTACATAATGAAGGAACGCAGGATTTTGACTGGCGGGTGGTAAAAGGGTAATTTTGGCTGGTTCATTGGTGAGAAGCATGGGGAAAGTGAAAAGAACAGAGATTAGCAGAAGGGCTCTTTAGAGCTGACTCACAAAGTTAGCCTTGGCTGTGAGAAATAGCAAACACTTCAGTAACAGTGATAGTGTTGCAAACTCCTTATCCCCACCCCCAAAAGGCTTCAGACCTGTCCAAATCATATCAATTAGTATCTCCAGATTAAGGCAAAGGTGCAACGGTTAAGCACTCAGCTGCTAACTGAGATTGGTGGTTTGAACCTACCAGTGGCTCCACCAGAGAAGAGACCTGGCGATCTGCTCCCAAAAAGACTACAGCCTATGAAATCCTATGGGACAGTTCTACTCTGTGCTATAGGGTCACTATGAATCGGAATCAACTCAAGGGCACACAACAACAACAACAGATTAAGGCAAATTGGTTAAAGAAGAGTCTTTTGGTGTTGGATTGTAATGGCTACTATTTATTAAGTACTGGCTATGTGTCAGGCACTTGTTTTAATTACATGTATCAATTCTTCAAATTCTCACAGCAACCCTTTGAGATAGTTACTATTATCAGTTCCATTTTGCACATGGGAACACTGAGGCCCAGGGAGGTATAGTCAGTTGCTCAAGGTTAAACAGTCAGTGAAGCTGGATTTGAGCCTAGGATTCTTGCTCTAGAACCCATATTCCTCACCTATAGCTCCCTCTGATTAATTTCATTTTTTATTAGGATTTTTCCCATCTTCTGCTAATGACCAAGTTATTCAAAATATCTATACCATTCAGCAGAGATTTTATGAGAAATTTATCCCTCAAATAAATGTTTACTCTCATTACAACATTGTTGTTGTTGTTAGGTGCCATGGAGCTGGTTACAACTCATAGCAACCCCATATACGATAGAACTAAACGTTACCTGGTCCTATACCATCCTCGCAATCGTTGCTGTGTTTGAGCCCATTGTTGCAGCCATTGTGTCAATCCATCTCTTTGAGGGTCTTCCTCTTTTTCACTGACCCTCTACTTTACCAAGCATGATGTCCTTCTTCAGGGACCGGTCCCTCCTGATAACACGTCCAAACTACGCGAGACAAATAAATTTTTGGGGGGAAGAGCTAATAATTTCAGTGACAAGTCAGGGATCATTAGTAGTTGAAATGAAGACTATACCTTTCTGAAACACTATGTATTTTTTGAAAAATGACCTGAAAGGTGGCTGCTTTAAGCCTTGGATTCACTGATAAATTTTGTTTAAAAAAAAAAAAATCCAGCCATATTCCACTGCCCAGTTAGGCTATGCTCCTCAATTTTGAAAAAGAAGCAAATGTCACCAAAAAAGCCATGTGGCATCAGGGATACTCATGAAAGCAAGTTCCAGGGCTACCCTCTTTTGCACAGTAGCTAAAACCACTTAAGAGCTTGTCTCTCATCTTACGGCTCAGCTACCTCAAGAGCTGATGTTCACACTAATGTTCCTGAATTATCATGAAGTGATTAAATTACGTTCACTACTTGAGAAAGAAAAAAAGAATATAGTGTATCTTTTTAAGGAATTCTACGAAAAAAAAAAGTATAAGGGTTCTGCCCTAGAACTCAAGGATTTAGTCTTAGATGCTAAGTTTATTTTTTTCTTTATGTTATTACATAAAATAAATATAGGCATATGTATTCATATATATATATACATATTAATAAAGAGAGAGAGACAAAGAAAGGCAGAGAGAGAGCTTTCTTGCTAAATATCATAATCAAGTTCACTAATGGACGTTCCTTTTCAGTTGCCTTTTCCCTTCCAATTACCTTTAGTTCATACTTTTCTTTTCCTACTAATTAGAAGTATCTTTCCTGCTAATAAGAAGCAAGTGGTATAGGAAATAGATATTGTTTGTCTTGCTAACATAGAAGTTTCACCAACAGAAGAATAGTTAGCTTGCAATAAGATTGTATTAGGAGTATCACAACTCATTTTCAAAGTAGTTCTTTGAAAACATTAATTTCAGTCACATTCTCATGAAACATATCTATGTTATTTAGAAAGATTCAAAAACAAATCCTCTAAAAATAAGTATAGCTAAGCCCATAAGCCTGTCCTTTAAAAAACAAACTGTTGGCAGACAAGGGCTAAAAACGTTTTTGTTCTCTCTCCAGCCCACTGCTGTAACTCTGTGCCTTTTCAGATCCCTAGTAGGTTGGTGAGAGGAAGCCTTTAAGTACATGAAATGCAGTGTGTGGTTGGACTCTTCACTCCTTTCAGGAAATTAGATTTCACTGTCCCACTCAAAAGGGCAGATAATTCCTTGTCTTGATTCTTGAATGCTTTTGAAATCCCACTGCAATGTCAGTCACATGACATATGGCCAGTAGGACGTTGGTCTCTGTGGATAAATTGTGGCATAGGAATAGAGTATGATGAGAAGAAAATTCTTTTATTGAAATTAATGTTATGTACTTTCCATTCCATTTTCTTTATCTCAGAGGTTCATTTGAAGATTCTACAACCAGATTTTATACAGCATGTGTGGTAGAAGCTTTTGCCTATCTGCATTCCAAAGGAATCATTTACAGGGACCTCAAGCCAGAAAACCTCATTCTAGATCATCGAGGTTATGCCAAACTGGTTAGTGCTTTTTTACAAATGGTTTCTGCCCTAAAGTTTGAAAACCGTGTTGGTTTATAGAGCTGTGTTCATTTTGCTAACATTAAAATTTCGGTTTTCCTTTTCGGTATTAAATGTTTTCTTAAAAACAGATTTAGTGTTGCGGTTTTCAACCAATTATTTTTCCTAATTATGTAAATATTATGAAAAATAAAGTTGGCTATGTTTGAATTAATAATACCCAGCCAAAATATGTTTGAATGGACTCATACTTACTGGCATGTGTTCATAGACCCAGAAGAGCTTCATAGAAGTTCTCTTTCTAATCAGCCTTCTGCCATCCAAAGGGAGTAAGTATTTATATTGTGGAGAATCATAAATCATTTTAATATTTTTAGTTTAACAATAATTCTAATTGAAAAAATGGACTTTACAGGCAATGTTATCTAGACTATGTTAATAATCATAATAGTAAATTTGATCAAGTGCTCTAAAGAGTTACTGAGGAAGGGAAGTTCTATTAAAAAAGCACAACTTTTATTGGATTTGGATCTGTCAGTATCTGATTTTATTTTTTCAACTTTTAGAATTTTTATTTATCATATGCTTTCCAGAGAAATCAACTCAATTTCAATTAATTGTTTGTATCCTAAGCCAGATTGTTTTAGAGGAAAAAATAGCTTTTCTGCATCTGAGTCTCCTCCTTAAAAGGCTTCTAGAAAATAAACAATATACGTTAATTTTATCTGTGTTTATGTCTACCCAGGAAAGAGCCTTTGGTCCCATAGCTTTGTTACTCAGCTCCTTCAACAGTAAAGTGGCTTTTCAAATAATTAATACTAAATGAATTGTTAACTTCATTAAATCAGCAGAAATCATGTATATTCTAGGAAAGATATTAAGTATACCCACCTGATCTTTTAAAAATTTTGAGTAAAGGAGATATTCTTTGTTTATGCCCCGCCTCTATTGGCATAAAAGAAGGAAAAATGCAAAGTCCTTCCAAAAGGAAAAGTTTGATTTATTTTTAATGACATGAATTTTATCTTATACCCAGGTTGCAACTTTTCCCATTTAAACAGAGTTTGGTCAGAGAAGCTTTGTTTGATTGCAACATAGATGATTTCTTTTATAAGATAAGACTATAACAACTAACATCTGATTTTATTTTTTAAATCATCATCAGCATACTTCAGCAAAGTAGCTTATTGCTTTTAGGCTTAATCCTAAGTGGCTTGAACTATTTTGTTTTTCTTTCTTTGTAAGGTTGATTTTGGCTTTGCAAAGAAAATAGGATTTGGAAAGAAAACATGGACTTTTTGTGGAACTCCAGAGTATGTAGCCCCAGAGATCATCCTGAACAAAGGTCATGACATTTCAGCGGACTATTGGTCCCTGGGAATCCTAATGTATGAACTTCTGACTGGCAGGTATGGACATTGATAGGGAACTGCTGATAACAATGGACCAGCAAACAACTACACACTTCTGCCTCTGTCACTCAAATTAGACCATCTTAAAGTGCATTTCACCGCATCTCAGTACCAACTTTAATTTGTTATACAAATGACCAGGAATTCATAAAGCAAGGTATAAAATGGGCCAGATGAAGGCAGCCCACTCAATATCAATTTTGGGTGTCATTATTGATAATTCTTTGCATATATGGCAATTGTGGAATGATCCAGTATCTTTCTATAAGATCTTTCAGCCTAGCCATTTAGCCAGTCATGAAGCAAGGGAGATGATATCATACAAAAATATCTAGGGCCAACTCTCTGTAGAAGTAAGAACACCTGTTATGCAATTGCTGTATCTAAATGAAATATGGATGCTTTGCAGCTCTTTTGTGTAATCACATCATAATTAATAACAACCAAAAAAGGCACTAGGGTTAACATGAGATATGAGACAGATCATAAGCTCAAGGACCAGTGCTAAAAGAAAAACTAATACAAGCCCATGACACGTGCTGAAGTCAATGAGTAATATAGTCATCATGACCTGCAGAACTCAGAAGAGGCCTGGGTTCATCCAGGGAGGGTTTTAGAGAAGATGAGACTGCAGTTGGATCTTACGGGAAGATTAGGACTTAGAAGTACAGAGTGAGTGAAGGGGCATTCCAGGCAGGGAAGCATGACTTAAATAGTGGGGCAGTAATGGGCACAGACATGGAGAAGGTTCATGTAAGAAAATCACAGGGGATTAGCATTAGCCATCTTTCAAGGATTGCAGTTGCTGCACTTGAGTGTTTAGATTCCATCCAGAGAGGGAATCACTGAGCATTTCTTGACAAAGGAATGACATGTGGCATTCAAGGAAAAATAGGCTGGCAATAATGTGTAGAGTGAAATCAAAGAGCATTGGGGAAGCTAGTTTGAAGATCATTACAATAATTCAGTCTTTGGAAGCTGAGAGCCTGGAATAGGATGGGGCAGTGGAAAGAAAGGGACAGCTGTGAGTAGGCTGTGAATGAATGAATTTCTTAAGGGGACTTAGTAACTATAATGAAAACAAGAGGATGACTTAGGACATTTCGCCTCAGGGTTCTTTGTGAGGATTCAGGGAATATGTGAAGCACATAGTAAGCACTCCATAAATGTTGCTGTTAAATGTCATCGAGTCGATTTCAACTCATAATCACCCCATGTGACAGAGTGAGTTGATTTCAACTCATAATGACCCCATGTGACAGAGTGAGTCGATTTCAACTCATAATGACCCCATGTGACAGAGTAGAGCTGCCCTATAGGGTCTTCTTGGCTGTCATCTTTGCAGAAGCAGATTGTTAGGTCTTTCTCCTGCGGAGCAAGTGGGTGGGTTTGAACTACCAGCCTTTTGGTTAGCAGCCAAACACTTAACTGTTTGCACCACCAGGACTTCCTGATAAATGTTAGCCCTGGTGTAACAATGGTTAAGCACTTGGCTGCTAATCAAACGGCTGGCAGTTTGAACCCTCCCAGCCACTCCACGGGAGAAAGACCTGGCAGTCTGCTCCCATAGAAATTATAATCTAGAAAACCCTGTGGGGCAGTTCTACTCTGTCATATGAGGTTACTATGAGTCAAAGTCAACTTGATGATGCCTAAAACAATAACAACAAATATCGTTTAGAGTAGATGCATATTGTTAAAAAAAGAAAGCTCTACATTCAAAGTTTTCTTAGTCTTTTTCTTTCTTAACTTTAGAGGGATCTTTGAGAAATTCATATTGTTAGTGAAGAAACATATTTGAAATTCAGCAGTCCTTTTAGCTTTACTCCTCCAATAATTTCTAATAAAATTAAATTATTAAAGACTTTTTATTTTTGAAAGCATGCATAATATAATCCTATGTATCTCCATCTACACAAAGAAATGTATGAAATTATGTTAATCAAATGTTGGTTATATTATTTGGGTCTGTTGGATGATTTTTACTATCTTCTAAGTACTTTTATATGTTCTATATATTACATGAATATCTCATACTGAACTTGTTAAAACCACAAGTCAGCCTTTAATAATCAATTTTTGTCTTCTTTCTAAGATAAACTAATGAATATAAAAGCAAAAATATAAATTAGAAAAACATTAACTTGATAAATGGATCTAAGATGTAGTTGTTCCTCATTTTTAGCACAGTGTTGAGTAAGAGTGGTGATAAAGGGCATCCTTGTCTGGTTCCCGTTCTCAAGGGGAATGCTTTCAAAGTCTCTCCATTTAGGATGATGTTGGCTGTTGG